TGTCCCTATTTTTTAGGGTAGTGCTCGGTTGAACTTGCCTCTTCCTTTGGTTCACCACCAGGATGACCATGAACCCAGGTGGCGAATGGGAGAAGAGATATTTGTTCCCCTCCTGGGACACAAAATACTGGTACTCGGCCCTCTTGTCCGTCAGTGGGATAGAGGCTGGGGTTTGCCAGAGGAACTTACATATTTTGGCCACCGTTTTGTTAATAGGGAGGGCCACTCTCGTAAGGGTATTCCACTGCAGGATGTTGACAGTTGGGTCGGAGTTCTCTGACACCCTCTCAGCCTGGACCCCCAGGTTCTGGGCCAGGCATCGAAGGAGGTCCTGGTGTGCCCTCAAGTCCATGAAAGGAAGTGTGTCACCCAGGGCCCCATCAGGGGAGGAAGATGAGGACCCTTTTGGCCCCATCTCCACAGGGGTCTCGGCCTGAGAGAGGGCCTGAGAGGCCGCTGGTGAAGTCATTGTGGGAGGCTGGACCAGCTGGCCCTCGGGCTCTGAGGACCTAGGGAGATTTGGCCCAGGGGAAGTGACTGCCCCGACGTGGGTGACCGGGTCAGTGCGGTCACCAAAGGGGGCGTCCTGGACCCAGAGAGGACCAGTCTAGAGGGGCCCATGCCCTGGCTCTGGTGGCAGGCCCTTGGGGTCCAAAACAGCCATTGAGACAGGTCTGGAGCCTGAGGGGGCCAGGACTGCTGCATCACTGGTACTGGAACTGGCTGCGCCCACTGATGCTGTTGCTGATGAGCGTAGGTACTCCAGCGCAGTGATCGGTGGGAGTGGGACTGGTGCTGGGATCTGGACCTAGATCCCCTGGACGACCAGGTGGACTCTGCCTGTGAGTCGGTTGAATACTCTGACGTCGACCATGGCAGGGTGGAGGAAGAGGCAGTCAGTGACCTGGCTGATGGGGCGTGCTGAGCCATCGACTCTGATTTACCCCAGTGCTGGTGGGGAGGGGAAGGAGGCATGGCCAGGCCCAGGCCCAGGAGGCTCTGAACGGAACCAGTGGTTGCGGTGGCTGGTGCCGCGCTCAGTGCCAGCCAGGACCCTTGCCCTGGTGCCGGGTCTGGTGCCAAGGCACAGGCTGGGGTTGAGGTCGCCATCAGTGCTGGCTCTGTAGGCGGTCGCACACTCAGGCCTGGAACAGCATGGGAGGTGACCATAGTGGAGCAGTGCTTCTTAGGCTCCGGTGACGAGGCGCCCAGTACCCTAAGCTTTGATCAGTGTCACCCCGAGTCCCAATTCTTTCCTGAGGCCAATGCCAGAGTAGGAGAGGGGCCCAGGGCTCTGGGAAGTCCCCAGTTGGGCTGGCATCCTGGTGTGGACTTGGTTGCTTACCTGACCAAGAAGGTCTGGGCTCGGCGCCTGATGGTACTACGTGCCCCACTTGAGGGTGCATGGAGGGCATGAGCCGTGGGGACGACCTACCCTGATAGACCTCCTCTTCTTCTGAGGCACTGGGGATTGGGAATGGTGCCAAGGTCTGCGCGGTGCCAGATAGGCACGTGAGTGGCCTGACATCTCCCACACCGAGGCTGGTGCATTCCCCATTGCCGGGTCCGACACCGGTGCTGGTCATAAAGCCGCCTCCATTAGAATGATTTTCAGGCACGACTCTCTCTTCCGCTTCATCTGTGGTTCAAACGCGTTACAAATTCTACAGCATCGGACAAGTGAGCCTCTCCCAAGCACTTAAGGCAACCAGAGTGCAGGTCACCACAGTGCATAGGCCTTTGGCACTTTTCACAGGGTTTGAAGCCCTGAGGGCCAGGCATGTCCCGCCGCACGTACAGAGCAAGGACTGCAATGAGTCCTTAGCCCTCGAAAACATTACTTAATTACTACTTAGAGAACTGATAAGAACTGTAACTGTTGAAACAAAGAATGTTAGATGCTAAAGGGCACTTGCTAGGCGAGAGCAAGAGCACATTCCAACGACTATCATGTGTGGTAAGAAGGAACTGAGGGGGTGGAGGGCCAGCAGGGGTATATATTGGCTGGTATACCGGTGCCACTCCAGGGGGCTTCCCTGCTGGCCCAATGGGTACTGCTAAGGGAAATATTTCCAACGACGGGTGCATGCTACATGCACACACTTACATGGAATGGACACGAGCAATCACTTAAAGAACTTTTTTTATAGGTATAGTAAGATTTTCCAGTGTTTGTTTTATTCTTATATAAACTTAATTTTGGGATAAAGATAAGCTGAGGTTAAAGTATGACATCAGGAATTGTGGGAGGAAGGGAAGAGAGAAGGAGAAGTGAAGAGGAAAGGGAGAGGAGAGATGGGCACATTGGACAGCAAAGGTGAGGACTGCAATGTTAGGAGAGGGGATTGGATGAAAAGGCAACCTTAAGCAACAGCAATACAGATAATGATGGAGGAGGCAGAAATACCCCTCATTAAAATTTCACAATTCAGTGAATGATGAAATCAGGAGGCTGCAAAAGCGCCCCCTGTTGCTGCTGTTCTCCGTGGCTGTGTCTACATTGGCCCCTATTCCGTAATAGGGATGCTAACGTAGCACTTGGGAATAGGCAAATCCGCGGGGGATTTAAATATCCCCCGCGGGATTTGCATTTTCATGGCTGCCGCTTTTTTCCGGCTTGTAGGTAAGCCGGAGAAAAGCGCCAGTCTGGACGCGATCCTCCGGAAAATAAGCTCTTTTCCAGAGGATCTCTTATTCCCACTTTCAAGTAGGAATAAGAGATCCTCCGGAAAAGAGCTTATTTTCCGGAGGATCGCGTCCAGACTGGCGCTTTTCTCCGGCTTACCTACAAGCCGGAAAAAAGCGGCAGCCATGAAAATGCAAATCCCGCGGGGGATATTTAAATCCTCCGCGGATTTGCCTATTCCCAAGTGCTACGTTAGCATCCCTATTACGGAATAGGGGCCAATGTAGACGTAGCCCATGTGTATAGAGGGGTGGCTGTCTCATTCTGGCCAGTAGGGGTTAAAGCAGTCTGGAAGAAGTTTGAGCAGGGTCATGACCAATCAAAAAGAGGCTTAGAGGGAGCAAATGGGAGAACAGGTTACTGGGCAGCCCTTGTTATACTGCTAGCCCTAGTAGTGCCCTACTTGGTAGAGCAGAGGTCAGTGGGTTCCTGACCAGGGAGGGTGCAGGACTGGTTCCCAAGAGGAAATACCTTAGAGAGAGCAGTGCTGGCCAGGCTCAGGGGAGTGGGAGAGAGGCTCCAGCCTGACACCTGCCAGGCTGCAGGTCTTGACACAAGGGCCAACAAGGTGCAAGGGTCACAGTGGAAGCAGCCCAGAAAACAGGAGGCAGTAGAAGGGGCAAAAGGGACAGGGGACAAGGCTGCCGTTAGAGGGACCCTGGTCGAATCTCAGACTGGGTCCCCCACTTTATTCTTGCATCACACCTAGCCGCACTGAGGAGTGACCTTTATGGACTGTGGCTAGCTCCTGAGTGAGGGGCTACACTGAGGCTGCAATTGGCCATGGTGGCAATGCAAGGCTGAGGACTGCTGATACCCCCAGAAGGAAGGCAAGAAACCAGTGTGGTGGGCACTGCCAGAGGGCAATGTTCTGAAGAGGACACCATGATTCGGGGAGCGACATGGATCTAGAATAGAGTATGGAAAGAGCGCAGAACTGCAACAGGTGAGACACCAGCCAGGAGAAGTGTGAGGGCAGACCTAATTCCCAGTGACTGGGAGGAGGCACTGTGGCAGTGAGTCATAACCCTATTACAGTGTGGATTGAGGGTTTGGAACCCACTGAGAGTGGTACCCTAGGATGAACCTACTAGACCTGTAAAGAGGTGTTGGAGGGCTTTGGCATACTTGCATTTTCAAATTCTAACCAGTGCTCACTGCACCAGATTCTGTGTTGATTCATACTCCATGCAACACCACAGAGCTCAACAGGATCGCATTAGGGTATAAATCAGAGCAGAATCCAGACCAAACTCTTCAGCTGTGTGAACATGGCAGTTATTGTAAGTCTCCCTCTGGCCAGCAATACATGGGAATTACCCAATAGCTTTGCAAGACTAGGCTTTGCACACAAACTACGTGCAAGTTGCTGGACTGTGTGACCCAGGGCAAACCAATAAAATCTAGTAAGTAACTGTATTTGTGACAGGGAGCAACATGCTTCTACCGTCTGCTGATGCATTTTGTAATCTGGAACCCCATTGACCTACATACTGAACTAATTATCATTCTTTTTTCAAGTTCCACTGTACCATCTAAAATTTATTAGACAATCAGCAGGTTTAGGGACACTTGCCAGAACAAAAGGAAGTGACTTTCAGGAATGGCAGAACACACTCTGTCAAAGGGTCCATTAAACACAAGTAGGCTCTCTGGGATCTCAGACTACAGATGTTGCCGGACCAGAGAGTCCCAGACCAGAGAGGTTCAACCTGTATTTATGTAGCTTTGAGTAAATAGGTGCTCTTACTCCTTTTGTCTGAATGTCTGGTTAGGATATTCAAGATCGGCTGTGAATAACACCAAACATTCACCACAGGTCTACAACTAATTGCTTTAAGAAGTACAGGTCTTTCCAGGAGGGTGACCCTTTACTGCGGGTCAATATGAGGAACTATGAACTTTTAGGCTGGTGCATGACTGAACTTTTGCCAAGGTGGCCCTGGGCACTATACTTGCTTGTGTTGGAAACCTACCTCAGTCACTATTAAATCCATCTTTATATTTTAACAAAATGAAATCATCAGAGAGGTTTTCTGTTTAATCATAGACACACATATTTTAATTTAATAGAGTATTAATTTGTTAAATGGAATAAACTTTAAGGGCATCAAAAGGCAAATGGCAATAGAAAATTAAAATCATTAGAAGAGAGAAATGGTGGTAGCAACATATGTAGGTCAATACTAGAGAAATATACCAGCATTAATACCTTCAATCCAGCCTGTGAAGATTTCTAGACTGCACTCTGCATAGTCTCGTCTGTATCACAGTATTGCATCAAAAGTGAAAGGGCAATATTACAAGTACTCACTTTCACTAACATAATTCTTGCTAGCTCTTCACATGCATGATTTTCATCATCCTTCTTTGTGTGCTCCAGCTCAAACAAGGTATTATAATTTTCCAGCATTTTGGCCATTATTTTGTTGCAGATTTCCTGTTCTTTCATACCCTCAAATCCAGAAGGCACACTGCAAAATGGATGAAACATCAAGCAGAGCATTAGAAGGACTTTAAATACCAGTATCCTTAGACATAGCCATCATATTGAAATAGATACAGGTATAGTCTTGATGGTACACAGAAAAAATTCCTTTCCGTATGAATGGACTTTCAATGAAAGAAGTTCTAATCATTCAAACTTTACCTTGGTTACAATTAGGGATGTTAACATTAACCGTTTACCAGATACCTGGGGAGCAGCCCCTTGCTCACCATGGACAGAGGACTACTCTGTGAGCTCCCAGCCCACACAGGGACATTTACAGCCTCTCTCCAAGTTACGAGTGAGTTACGGACCAAACACTTGGCCGTAACTCGATCTGTTCGTAATTCAAACCCCACTGAGTTACACGCGACCGCGCTGTTCGTAAGCGCGGGTCGCGTTCAGAACTCGGGGACCGCCTTTACGACCGCTCCATGGGAGCTTTGGTCGTATGTGCGAACGGTCATAACTCGACCATTCGCAACTCGGGGAGTGGCTGTAATCGATTAACTAATTAAACGGGATTTTACATCCCTAGTTATAATCATTGCAGTTTATTCTCAATTTCTTTGACCTGCTATTAAAAATATGGTCACACCTTATATTATATGGGACATCTATAAATAATTTACAGAGAGTTTAGAAATTGCTAAAGAGAGATCACAAGCATGCTACAGACAAGATCTATATATTATATAGATGGTTAACATGTTGGACTCTAAGAAGAACTGATTACCCATGTATTAATCATTTCTTAACAACTGATTAGCAATTAGTCATTTATAACCCCGTAAACTTTAACACTTTAAAGTGTGACTAAGAATAACACCTGCTCTTATGTCCCTCTGACTATTTTTGTAGTTTTACAATTATATTTTCTTATTTTCAAAAGATTTTTCTCTCTTCTAGTGCCATGAGCCAGACCCACACAAACAACAGGGCAACTAACTACTTGACTGTCTCTGTATCAAGGTGGTATTAAAATGTGTAACGTAAACAGACTAAAACATTAGCGGTTTGACACACTGTCTCTGTTATTCCCCTTACTACCTCAACCCTGTGGACTTTCAATAACAGGAAAGCTAACTGTACTGCTTCTTAACTCCACAGGCTTTTGCCAGCCTCAGTATAGAATTTAAACAATCCCTTTGCACCAAGTAAACAGACCCCTATGATATCAGGCCCCTTTCACCATAATATATCAGAAAATACTAGTTGTTCTGTTCCCAAAGGACCAGACACATGTCATGAGTCTGCCCCTTCATTATCCAATAAGGCAGGGTTGGGGAAACTTTTTTTTGGATTGGGGGCCGCTGACCGATAGGAAAAAAAAATTAGTCAGGGGCTGCACAAAAGTGGGGGGGAAAAACCACAACCCCTCCCCCCCCAAAAAAAAATCACACACCTCCCCTCACTGACATGGCCTCGGACTGAGAAGCAGAAAGACACAAGACACTCCCCACAGTCCCCTTGCATACCAGAGCCTAAGGGGGCCTGGGCTAGTAGATTTTGTGGGCCCCTCTAGGATTGGGGGTTGTGCCAAAAATGAGGGGGTCAGTGTGTGAGAGGGGGCTGCTGGGAAGTGGGCTTGGGATGTGGGTTGGGGGCCTGGGAGGGTTGTAGGGTGCCAGAGCAGAGAGGGATGGAGGAACAGACTGGAGGGGGGTGGCAATTTTTTAGAGACACATTATTAAGGGCACAAAAACAATCTATTTCACTGCACAGGAAAATTAGGCAGTATGACAAGAAACCACCCTGACTTACCCAGGAAATACTGAATGATCTAAAAGTTTAAAAAGACCTGCAAAATGTGGAAACTAGGTCAAATGACAAAGGATGAATATAAACACAAAAATGTAGGAAGCAAAATTAGAAAAGCTCAATCTAGCTATAGACAAAGGGTAACAAGAAAACATTCGACAAACAGATTAGAAGCAAGAGGAAAACCAACAACAGGGTAGGCTCATTATTCAACTATGAGAAACAATAATAGAAAACGTGGAAATGACAGAGGTGTTTAATGACTTTTTTGTTTCAGTTTTCACCAAGAAGGGTGATGGTGATTGGATGCCTAACATAGTGAATGCTTAAGATTAAAATTGGGTTTGTTTAGTATGAAAAAGAGACGACTGAGAGGGGACATGATAACAGTTTTAAAGTATCTAAAATGGAGGTGGGTAAGAGGCGCCCAACGCACAGGATCCGGCCTGTCAAGCTGCTATATCTGGCCCATAGCTGCCTTGCTGGGACCCTTAGGAAGAGAGCAGCTGTAGCTGCTCTAAAGGCTGGCTGCTCTCTGCTCTGAATGCTGGGCAGGGAGGAGGGAGGCTTCACACACTGTTCCACGCAGCAGCAAAAGCTCTAAGCTCCCATTGGCCAGTTTCCAACCAATAGCAGCTGAGAAATTTTGCTGGGGGCGGGGGCAGCATGTGAAGCATTCTCCCTCCCTTCCCCCCAATACCCAGAGCAGAGCCATACAGTGCAGACAGCTCATGAGCCTGGCCAGAATCCTCTCCTTCACCCATATTCCCTCCCTGCCCCAGGTCACCACCCAAATCCTCTGCACCCCCTTCTCACAGGTCACAACTCCCTCCCGGACTCTGCATGCCCTCCTAGAGCCCCTCATTCAGTCCAGAAACCTCCCTTAGTCCCTCCTGGAGCCTGCACCCCAAGTCCCTGCCCCAGATTCCCTCCTTCACCCAAACTCCCTCTCAGATCCCACACTCCCTCCTACACCCCAACCTACGTCCCAGACCCCACACTCCCCATCCCCCAGAGAAGTGCAGCCCTTGACCACTTGCCAAAATCTTGGCATGACCCACTCATTAAAAATTATTGCCCACCTCTGATCTAAAAGGTTGTTACAAAGATGAGCAAGAAAAATTAATCTCAAACTCTGAGGATAAGACAAGAATTAATGGGCTTACATTGATTGCAGCAAGAGAGGTTTAGGTTGGACATTAGGAAAAACTTCCTAACTGCCAGGCTGATTAAACACTGGAATAAATTACCTGGAGGGTTGTGGATTCTCCATTATTGGAGATTTTTAAAAGCAGGTTTGACAAACACCTATTAGAGAGATCAGGGTGAGCAAGATCTGGCTCACGGCCCACCAGGAACCTCAGTCAGGGTCCCTGTTTGCCATGTCCCCACAGCTACTCAGAGCAGCTGTCTGCAGGAGCCATGTGCTTGTGTGAGCACTGCAAGTCTGGGTGGGGGGAAGGGGAGAGACTTTGCGTGTTACCCTTGCAGCCAGCATGATTTCACAGCTCCCATTTGCAAGAGAAGTAGCCTTCTCCCAGGGCTCACAGCATTCAGAAAAGCACATGTCCCCACAGCCTGTGCAAAAGGCAGGGAGCCTGGCTGAGGGACCTGCTAGACTGGTGGCAGCAGCCCTCAGCTACTGCCTGCCTCTGGCACCTCAGCGTCTCCCTTCCCCCAACCCTCTGCCCCCCCCCACAAAAATCAAACTCTCTGCACCCAAACCTCCTCCCAGATGCTACACCCCAATCCCCTGCCTTGATCATAACCCAAAGCCCTGCACCCCTGCTTCAGGTCACAACCTCCTCCCAGACCCTGCACCCCCCTCCTGGACTCTGCATTCCCTCCTGCCCCAAATCACAACCCCCTCTTACACACAACCCCTCTCACAGATCCCACACCCCTTCCTGCACCCCAAACTCCCTTCTGAATATCAAAGAGTGTAACCATTGACCACTTACCAAATTTTTGCAGTGCTCCCACTCATCAAAAATTATTGCTCAGCCTTGAGCTAGATGGTGCTTGGTCCTGCCCTCAGTGCAGGGGACTGGACTTACTGTCCTCCAGAGGTCCGTTCCAGTTCTATGATGCTTTGTGTATGTCTAGGTCCCCCTCTGGTGTTAGCCCACACATAGGTTAAAGCAGTGGTTCCCAACCTATTTATACCAGGGGACAACAAACCCATTCACAAATTTTTGGTGGCTCAGCAACATTTTATTTGCATATACATTACGCAAATTACAAATATTCAACTATGTGAATAAAATGTTACTGCTTTGCCAAAAGTTTGTGAATGGGTTTGCCAGTCCCTGGTATAAAAAAACCCTGGCTCCCAGAGCCAGCCCTTACCGCTAGAGCTTCCCACCCCTCCACTACCCCTCAGTGCCAGCCGCTGACCCCAGAATCCCCTGCACCCCATTACTGGCCTCTCGCCCTCAGAGTCCCCTAGTGCCAGCCTCCTTCCCTAAATGCCTCAGTTGCAGTCTCCTGTTTCCAGAGCCCCACTGCACACAATCCCTCCAGGCCTCCCTGTGCCAGCCCCCAGTTCTCAATATTAGCCCCGTCTCCAGTGCCAGCCCTGCCCCCTAACTCCCTCACTACTAGCCCCACCCCACTCACCTAGCCCTGCTGCTGTCTCCCAACAGCCAGCTGAGTGCTTCCTGCATGGCGGGAGGGCTGCACGGAGCCCGCAGCGTGCTGGGCCCCTGCTAAGCGCCGCGGCAGCCGGGCTCCATGTGGTGCTTGGCCCCTGCTGAGCGCCGCGGCAACTGGGCTCCGGGTAAGCACAGCTATAGCGCTCAGCTGGGGCCAACTGCCATGTGGAGCCTGGCTACTACAGAGGGGTGGAGGCTGGGAGCCCGGTGTGTGGCTCAGATGGGCTGCCCGTTGGGTGAAGCGGGGCGGGAGATGGGAAGCCTGGTGTGGCCGCAGGGGAGGGGCTGGGGCCAACAGCAGGGGAGTCAGAAATGATGTTCCCTAGTCTAGTAAAATCCCTCATCTGGGGCCAATAAAGTCCTGGGGGTGCTGGACCAGGGAGGTCTAACTTGTAGGCTGTATGCTATGTCTGTACAGATAATAGTGGCACTAGTGGCCATAATAGGTACAAATCAAATGGATAACCCCTGTTGAAATGTAGGTCACATTTTAACTTTTGCAAATTAAGCAATAAAGCAAAAGCACAGTTTGGATCCTTGGCTTTCATACAGCAAATATGCTTAGCAAATA